TTCAGATGCAGAAGTCATGACATATATTAAAATACTTTGAACGACAGCAAAATGAGAATGTCATGCTTGTGAATACCATTATAAAATCATTTTTCATTTTTAACGCATGTTTGGAAATATTGTGGAAGTGATTCATCATACAACTTAACAGTCTATTGACTTTTCCCTTTCAGCTATATTTGCCAAACATAACTAATTACATTTGTTGCTTTTTTATTTATTATAGTCGTGACTCAACAAAATATGACCAGAGTTAAATAACACAAGTCTACTTAGTCATTTCTGCTTTCCAAAGATACTCAACATTTGAAAAAGCAGCATTAAAATATATTCTCAATCTAAACTATAGTTAATTGGCTCACTAGTTCATAATCCAATAGTCACCACCTGGGACCAAGTCAGAAAAGTCTGAGTTGGCTTCTGGAACCAATCATGAAGCTTGATGCACTCAATTCCTTTGTTTTTAAGGAGAAGCATGAAGTCACTGGAGAATCAGAAAATATCCAACTCTTCACTATGAGAAAAGAGGAGAAAACAAAGGAGATGGGACATCAAGAGGGAGAGAGAGGGCTAGCCAAATAGCTCAGCACAGTAAGACACCTGCTGAGGCAGATGCAGCGGCCAGATTTGATCCCTAGCGTGACAGCCCTGCCTCTGGGGTGTGCAGAGATGGTGATTGAAACTGGGCATGGTGGCACGTGCCCGTGATCCCAGCTCTTGGGAGGCTGAACACAGGTGGATCACTACGAGTCTGATCTATGTAGTGAGACCCTGTAGATCCTTACTAAAAAAAAAAAAGAGGGAGAGAGAGAAGGTCAGGAGAAAGGGGGTGCCTGAGGCTGCCTCGTCAACAGAAAGCAGCAGAGGCTGGGAGAGTCCTATGTCGTGAGCAAGGAATAGCTAGAGTCATCCCGAGAAGGCGTCGGTGTCAGCCCATAGCTTGCATTTTCCAGATATATTCTGCTCACTGCATCCATCCCAGAGCATTTTTTAATTGAGTGGTTAGTTGGTTTGGGCAGAAAGGGTGGAGTTATTGAAAGAGCTCACTGATTACGAAGTCAAGCGACAAGTGTCCACCCTGAGCACTCTCGGAAGACACTAGGAAAAACAGTAAATCTCACTTTAAAATGGAGACCAAATCATACCAGCAAAAATGTAAGTATATAGTGAAATTCTACGTCATTTGTAATTTTTATGTTTTAATACTATTTTATGCTCTCTTTCAAAAATAAAAATGCAAGCACATAGTTTTTGCTCAAGAGTCAATCAAATTAATTAAATTAATTTCCTTTTTGTAGCAATAAAGTCACCAATACAATTAAATTATTATAATTAGTCTTCTAGAAAGATTTCTTTTCTCATGATATAGTCATTGATCTAAATTGCAAGATACCAGACATTTGAAATCCAAAACAACACAAAAGATTTCTTCTTTAAAAGTGATTATTAGCTCATGGTCAAGACCTAATATATAAGTAAACTAAAATGAACGTCAGTACGACCCTTCATCTGGAAAACAAATTCGATGTGCTAGCTAAAGAAGCATGGAAACACTTTGGATTTCATATATAAGAAGAATGGAAGACATAAGCAAATCCATGCTTTTGAGCTGAAACAGGAGCAGCGCCTGCACAAGGGTGTGTGCGTGCAAGTCTGAACTTTGCAGAGTTCTTGCTGTTGAACTACATACATTCATATTATAGTCAAAAGCAAACTAGATCAGGTTAAGAATCTCAGAGGACAGAGATGCAGTTTAACAAAAACGTGACAGATGATTTTCTTTAAATGAGGTATTCTGTAATAGTCCACAACAAACTGCACAAAGGAATGACAAGATTCCTTAAAGCACAAGCACAGGACAAGGTCCAGCGGGCATAAAAGGTCATGTGTCCTGCAGGAGACCACAACACAGTGCTATTGTGGAAAAATTAAGATACACTTATGTAGAGAGAATGATGGAAAGATAGAGTGCATAGTTAAATGTCAAAAAGTTCCTAACAGTTCAATCCCTGGTTCCGCAAAAAAAAAAAAAAAAAAATTAAGTACTTTGGGGCTGGTGAGATGGCTCAGTGGTCTAAAGCACCTACTTAGCACAAGCTTAGCAAAGCACAGGGACCGCAGTTCCATCCCCCAGCACCCCATGCCAGCCAGCCCCGCCCACTGGTGGGCTGAGCTGGCCACACACACACACACACACACACACACACACATAAATAAATGAATAAAAAAAAAAAGTTCCTAACAGTAAAAGACACAGTACAAAGGCTGGGACTGGCTCAGTGGTCGAGCTCTTGGCTTGCATGCACAAGGCTCTGGGTTCGATCCTTAGCATCACGCGCACAAACAGACACATTGCCAAAAATGATGGTTTGAATGTGTTTGAAATGAGGCAAAAATTTGGAGACTTTTTCTTTATTATTGCAGAGTCTGTATGTTGCTGTAATACATTTAAAAAAATAAGCATTCGCCTTATTTTCTCATTATCACTTGTTGATCAGGCACTTATGGGAATTTATATCAAATAAAAGCATCACATCCCATCTTCATATTCTCACCTGCCTTATTCACTATGCTGCACCACAGGACTCTGGCTGCCACAAAGTCAGTGTCACCGTGAAAGGTGAAGTTGCAAGTGGGATCCGGATATCAAGGCAGTCAGAGCAGTACAACCAAAGACACAAAGACAGCTCCCAAGGCTGCTTCAGAGAGCAGCAAGGAGAGTAGATGGGTATGCTTGAAGTGAGAGGGGGATTGAGATCAAAGGCAATGGGTCCTCTACTGTAACTTCTAAAAAGTTAAATATTGTTGTATTTTATCATACCTCATCCAAGTCCATACCTATATAATGAAAATATAAATGTAACTGTTCTATACGCTCAGCACTGCAGAATTGCTTGGGTGAATGACTGCAACTGTAGGGTATAGGTCACTATATTTGTGGCTTGGATTTTAACAGACATGGTCAACTTATGCTCCAAAAATATTGTCACACTAGCAGTCATGTGAATGACATACACAATATTATATTCTTGCAAGTCTCACTGGTAAATGTTACCTATCTGTAAGCATTCTACTAATTTAAGAGATTTAACAGAGTATTTTATTATAATTTGTACTTTCCTGATTAAAACAGAGAGTGGGTTTCAAGTGTTTAGTGAATATTATCATTTTTTCCTTTTAAAATCATTTGTTCACATGTTTACTCCTTTTTTATTTGGTTGTCATATTTCTCTTAATATTTTAAGTACTCTTTGTGTACTGGGGATTTTTACTCTTTACCTTTTACTGGGATGAGAATATCCCTTCATCACTTGGCGCTGCATGGCAGTTAGCCCTAGTGTCCAGAATATTAGACAGTCATATGACAGAATACACTGTCTTCAGCTTTTAGTTCAGATATATTTATTTGTTTACCTTCTAAAAGCTTTTGCTTTGTATTTAAAGATATTTTTCTTATCTATCATTAACTCACAGTTATTTTTATACTTCAGGGCCATGTTATTTTTTTGCATATGCTGGGTGATAGAACTCTACTTTTGTTTCTTTAAAAAGTAATAGTCTAGGGACTGGGGAGATGGCTCAGTGGAATAAGTGCTTCCCTGGCAAGCACAAGGGCCTGAGTTCAATCCCTGGTTCCGGAAAAAAAAAAAAAAATAGCCTAAAGCACCTATTCCTAAGCATGCCCTTCTCCCTACGTTCACTACTGGTGCGATTGTTACTGTCAGTGCAGTCTCTTTTACACTGCTATTTTTGGGGTTCATGCCGAACATTTCTAGGGACTAGTGTCAGTCAGTTTTACATAGTTTCGTTTTTACTCTCCTGCTATTCCTATAGACACATAATTTCCATCAAAACCCTGACATTTCACTAGACAATTAAAGACAAACTAAAGTAAAATAACTCCTAGGCCATCTTACTGCAGATTTTCACATTAATTAAATAAAATTCTCAAGGTCTGCAAGAGCTTAATCTTGACTGCCTCAAAACATAAAGGTTAGGGCCAGACAGGTAGCTCAGTGGACTAAAGCACCTGCTTAGGCAAAGCACAGCATCTGGGGTTCGATCTCTGGTGTGCTGTGCAAGGCTTACCCCTGGGGCGCGCTGAAATAGTGATTGAGACTGGGTGCAGTGGCGCATACCTGTAATCCCAGCACTTGGGCGGCTGAAAACAGGAGAATCACTATAAGTTGGATCGACATAGTGAGACCCTGAAGACCTTGTACTAAATACAAAAAGAAACAAACAAATAAAACCCATAAAGCTTGCTCTGCATCTAATTATACCTGTATTCTACTTATTGTTAGGTCTTTTTATATATAGAAACCAAACTAAATTTTTACATTTAGGGCCGGGGAGATAGGTCAGTTGAATAAGCGCTGGCCTGGCAAGTGAAAGGGCCTGAGTTCAATCCCCGGTTCCACAAAAACACACACACACACACACACACACACAATAAATAAATAAATAAATTTCTACATCAAACAACTGAGACATTGTTTTATGAAATATGATCATGCTGGACCAGAAAGATAGCTCAGTGGTCTGAGCATCTGCCTGGCAAGCACAAGAGCCCACCTGTGATCCCCAGTACAACTGAGACCGGGCGAGGTGGTGCACACCTGTAATCCCAGCTCTGGGGAGGCTTAAGCAGGAGGATCACTGTGAGTGTGAGCTGCATAGCAAGACTCTGTGCCAAACACATTAAAAAAAACAGAAAGAAATATGATCATGCTGATAAAACCAGGAAAGACACAGGAAAGAGGGAAAGCATTATAGTTTTGCTTCAGCTGAAATTTTTTCTGTCATTATTTCTAAAACCACTATTTTTTACTTCATTGGTAGCATTTATTTTTACTACACAAACTTTCTGTAAGATAATTGACATTAGATTTATTTTCTGCATACACAGAGTGGAACCAAAATTCAGTTCATAGCATTCATATTCATTGTATTGATTGGCTGATTGATTTTTAGATTTCCATGCATAAGACAGCACTCACATGAAGTCCCTCGGTGAAGCTTTCCTGAGAGCAGAGGCACCTGTACGGCCGGCTCACTGTGTCACATGCGCTGGCGTGACCGTGGCACTGACACCTGTGAACAGCAGCAGCACTGAGTCAACTGGAAGTCTGCTTTTAAGCCTGTGGAATGCACACCATGTGACTCCAGCGAGAGACGAACACATGCAATCAACATGATAATCGCTTTCTCTATTATCCTATGTTTCTTCATAAAAGCAGTTAATCACTAAGCACCAGTGGGATGGTCACCAAGCTCTAAACAATGCTGCTTCAATGGTCATTTTCAAGCCACCCTGCAAGGAGGTCGGGCTTGCGCATCCCTACTCCAACTGCATGGCAAAGTCGTCAGGTGAACGCACCCACTGAAGGGACTCCAAGTACAATTTCAATCGTTTTTTTATTTCCCCGAATCAGACAATGATTATCACATAGTATTACTTTATCCTTGCCCTGTTTCTTAACAAGTCAATGTTACCTGTGGGAATTCATGACTTTTTAAAGACTTACAAGCATGCTGTTCTCTACAACAACTCATTCTAATTATGCTCTACATGTACATTTCCATATTAGTGGCTGCCTGGTTTTATACATCTGGGCTTTGTTCTTAGTTGGGATCAGAAATGCATATACTACAAAGCATACAGTGCACAGAACAATGTGTGTTCCCATGGAACTGGGAACTTGGAAGGCCTGGCTTCATGTCTGACCTATCAGCTATCTACTCCAAATCATGCTCCTTCACTTTGCCTTCAAGTCTATGTGAAAATCAGATTCCATAACAAACCAAGAAAATATACACACTATATGAAAGTTATATGTAAGTCAAATTTAAGGTATTATAACTTTTGTAGAGGGCTTGCAGAAGGTGAGACTCAAGGCCTTGAACATGCTCGGCAACTTCTGCACTTCTGAGCTCTACTCCTCAACCCTCAGAGAATCACATCCTCTAAACCTAATAGCTTTTGAAAAATCTATTTTTTTTTTAACCAGGAATCAAACTCAGGACTTTGACTTGCCAGGCAGGTGCTGTGGTGCTGAGCTATGTCCCAAGGCCTAAAAATCTGTTCTATAACAAAGCTATATAATATTCAGAAAAGACTTGCTTGTACAGCTTCCTAAAAGATCTTAGAGTACAAAATCATTTCAAAATATAGAGTACAGAATCTACTTTGTTCTAAAGATTTATAGCATTTTAAGAATGACAAAAAAAAATCTCATTAAAGAGAAAATTCCAAGTGGAATTATCCAATTTTGACCCAGTATTGCACTCTACCTCCCACCGATGGTGAGCTCATCCACTGCATAGTATCTGTGTCCAGGGTTGACCTCTGCGTCAGTCGTGTGGTACTGCCCATGCAAGTGAAGCCTTATATGTGTGGCTTTTACGAATTCTTGCAGGGATGGTGTATTGTAGAAGTCACTGTATCCAGGACGAGGGTTTGGCTCAGGTTTCAGGATGCTAAATGTGACGTTACCATGGGAATATGGAGTAAACCTATCGAAAGAAATTTGATATCAAAAAAGTCTATTCATATTTTTGACAAATCAAAAATTGTAATTTTTAGTCATTATTACAATATTAGCCCAAGGTTAGTTTCTCCATTATGAGAAAATAAATATATCCCATATCATTTGTCAACAAATATTGCAGAACCATTGCAGAAAACCACATACATGCCTATTTAGGCAGATGCAGGGGCTGGGAGTTGGATCCCCAGGCCTGCTGTGCCAGCCCTGCCCCTGGGGCATGCTGAGATGGTGATTGAGACTGGGTGTGGTGGCACATGCCTGTAATCCCAGCACTTGGGAGGCTGTAAACAGGAAGATCACTATGAGTCTGATCTACGCAGTGAGACCCTGTACACCCTGTCCTAAATACAAAAAAAAGAGAGAAAATAAAACCAAAACAACCACATACACTAATTGTTTACTACCCAACAAAAGGAATCTTCTGTAACAGAAAACACTTGCTAAGTAATCTGAAAGTACAACTTCAAAACATGGGTGATGCTCTAACCAAAGACATACACTAAATGATTCGAGAATTCTACACATAGTTTAAAAGTCAATTCAGGGAAGAGATATTGGAGAATCTACCTCAAGGAGCCGGTGATGGAGAGAAGTCACTACCAGCTTAGTGAGTGTCTCTAACCTATAGGTCACTATGAACTCATCAGTTCATTAACATTCATTGTTCTTAAACTATTCATACTTGGGAAGCTGAAGACAGTTGACAGAATCGGGGTTTTCCAGATCTCCATTGTTTTCCATTCCAAAAGTGCTACAGTTTCTAGCAAAATACTGCCAGTCCTCCCAACCCAAGCTGCTTTCTTTCTTCCTTTGAATCCTGATCGCTGTTGGTAGTGGACTAGAGAACCGGATGGCGACATAAAACACCTGCAATGCAGGGGATACTTGTTACAAGGGAAATTTACATTTGATGCATCTGTAAAAGTCCATGTACACAACTTTGAGATTTCAGTATACAGGCGCTGGGCCTGGGGAGGTAGCTCGGTGGTCTAAGCACCTGCCGGGCAAGTATAAGGACCTGGGCTGCATCCCCAGTATCACATTCTATACTGGCCACATAGTGAGACCCTGTACCAAAGAAGTAAATAAAAAATAAAAATAATAAAATAAATAAATATAAAGGCATTGTAACTCCTCATAATTACAAGGATCAAATATTCCCTGGACATTCAGCAACTTCACAGAGTCACTGAAGAGCAACACATTTTCCAGCTTTGTAAGACTCTCTTTTCAAGGACTTTAGAAATCAAATTACAAACTAATATGAAAAGACATGAACATACAGCATTAGTCTCAGGAAAACTAATAAACATAAAGGGATAAAAGTAAATTACTAACACACTTGTAAAAACAGCACAGTAAAACAACTCAGAGAATTAGTACAGATTTGAAACTGAAATGGTAAATTGAAACAAACATAAAAAAAAAAATCCAAATTTGTAATCTTTGACCATCAACCAAATGAAAAAATAAATGTTACTAATGAAGAAAAAGGATTTTGGTCTTTTGATTTTGTCTTGTTTTGTTGTTTGGTTCTTACAGTGCATTTGCATGTGTGTGTGTGTGTGTGTGTGTGTGTGTGTGTGTGTGTTTTGCTTTGTGTTGTTTATAATGACGGGATCCAAATTCAAGGTTTTCCACATACCAGGAAAGTAGTTTACAATTAAAACACAAGGTAGATTTGGAAGGAGAAGGAGGAGGAGGAACAGGAGGACTAAGAGGAGGAGGAGGAGAAGGGGTAAAAAGGAAGAAGGAGGAGGAGGAAGGGGAGGAGGGGGAGGAGAAGCAGGAGGAGGAAGAACCTGACACACACATTTCCAAATAAGGACGGGGGTACTAAAGAAATGGAGACACAGCTCCATGGTGAGGTCATAATTTAAATGACACCAAGAAAGGAAAACAAAGATCCCCTTAGGAATCCTGAAGGAAGGCGAGCACTGAAAGCACCTTGATTTTGCACTGCTGGTCTTCAGAACTGTATCAAAACTCATTCTGTTTTAGAACACCAGGTCTGTAGGGCACGGAGGTAGCCATACAGATCCTGCCTACCTGGTACTGTCCATTTTCCAAATCCACTGAAACTGTCACTCCTTCATCCAGCTGGGTGATGTTTGTGAACACATAAGAAACCCACGAAGTGCCAGTATTGTTGTCATTGATAAAAGAAAGAGGGTGGGCATCAGGGTCCACGCGTAGCATTCTGCGTCTGGTGGTGTCTTCCACTCCATTGGAAATGCAGTAATGCTGGAGCCGAGGGTGGACACGGGGGTGGCTGCCAGGGCACCGACAGTGCGGCTGGACGTGGAGTTGGGGCAGACTGCCGGAGAAAACTTCTAGAATCTCTCTGTAGGAGCCAGGAGGGAGAATTTTCAGGACAGAGCACTTGACAGTATGAGAGATTCAAATCATCATTACAGGGAAATACTGCTGTTCTCATGCTTTGACAAGGAACCAGTTATCTTTAATAACTTTCTAATCAAGGGCCAGGGACATAGCAGACTAAGCATCTGCATAGGCAAGCTCAGGGGTAGGGGCTTGATTCCCGGCATCACATGCGGTGCCAGCCCCTCCCCTGAGTGCACTGAGCTCAAGGCTGGGCCTGGTGGTGCACGCCTATAAGCCCAGCACTGGGGAGGCTGAAAACAGGAGGATTACTAGGAGTCCAAGCTGCACATAGTGAGATCCTGTACCAAATACATAAAATAATAATTATTATTATTTTCTAACCAGAAAATAAAATAAAATTCATTCTTAGTGAAATAAGCATCTTCACTGTCATGAAATGCATCCAAAATATAGTAGATTTTGTGTCAATTTTTCACATCAAGAAGCATGCATGATCCCTTGTCTGAGTATCAAGATAGTTTTTGAAATATAATAATTCACTGTGCCTGTTTGTGAGTGTATAGAGACTATCACGTCGCTTACGTCAGTGCTTGAGCTGACTGCTGAGAGCAAGCAGCAATATATTGGAAACAATGTGACCTATGAGTAGGCCTTCCAGTCCATCCATGGGAAATAAGATGAAAGCAAATAGCACTTTCTTTGCTTCTGTTTCGGAAGGGACTGCAGCCAAGGCCATTTGTCAGTGGCTTCCTGTGACTCATCTACATAGTTGCTGGCATCCTGAAATGCTTCAGTGGCTTTGGATCCTATCGCCTCTGCCAACAGTCAAAGAGGAAAGCCAATTCCAGGCAGAGATTTAATGTTTCCATTAAGGGCAATGTACCCATTCTAGAGCAGGATCAGTCATTCTATTTGTAGATAGTTCATCCACGCTACCTTTCCAGACATTCCAGGAGACCAGTGTCAGCAATCCCAGTCCTAGAGAGTCCAGGCTCCCTCAGCTCCCAGGGGGAATGGAGGAGCCCACAACTTTTCCATTCATCAAGCCACATGAGGTGACATGATCTTTAAATCCCATAAGTATTTTTTCAATTGATACAGCTTTTGAATATGACCCAAGGTCATTACTTAATATGCAGTGGTTGACCCCTCTCCCCGGATCAGCTTCATTCCCCAAAAGCTACTATAATGCTGCTCTTTAGCATATTTAAGACAAAGGTGATTTGAAAGACACAAAGCCTGGCGGCAGTAACATCCTCCCCAATGTGTTCCCATGTTTCAGACCCTCTATTTAGTCATCTCCTGAGTACAGCAGCTAATAGAGCACAAGGTTCCAATGAATAGTGAACTCACAGACCCCAGAACCAGCCCAAGAGCCACTGTGCCCAAGGCTGCAGGAACTGGTCCCATCATTTGGAAATTCACACTATTCTACATCTGCCTTGAAGAAGTTGAACATTCTTCTCTCTGGCCTTCCATAGAAGTGAATTAAATCAACTCATCTATGCAACAATAGAGTATCTTATCAGATGATGAGTTAGGAAGATTTTCAGGGGTGGTATTCACCAGAATTTCACCTGAAACTCTCTGAGCAGAAGGGAAAACTGTGTGTTTCAGCAGTCCTAAAAAGATCACCAGCTACACACAAGATGAGCAAAGCTTTCACAAAAGCTCCCCCAAGTCCATAAAGACATTTGTTGACTGGAAATAGGGAAAAATAAAATGATACATCAAATATTCATTCTTTTAGTTTCTGAGTCTAACAGCTCCATCTCTTGAGACTTCCTCATATATCAAAATAATCCTTTTCATTTTTCCTCATTGTCTAGTAGTTATAAATTCAACAGGAAATGTTTAAAAGAAACATACAAGAGCAGATGTCTCAGTGTGAGAAACTACTTCATACATAATGTTATACAAATGTGTACCAAATTCTTTAAAAGATGCACAAATCAAGTTTTCTTAGGGAAAATATGTCATAAAGAATTTGATCAATTTCATATTCTAAGGAGCCTCGAGTTACAGCCACAGCATAGGCCAACATTAACACTCTAAATATCAGGTGATGCTTGCCAAATGTGGTACTAAAAAACACAATAATCATCATTGTAATCATCAATGTAAACAATCATCATTTAAGTGAATTTCTCCTTACATTTCTTGAGGTTTACAATTCCACATCTACTTACCTGTTTGTAAGTGCCACTTGGTATAATCGAAAATCTTGCATTTTTCCAACAAACTGCTCTAAACCTGCAAATATATATATATATATATATATAGACAATATACACAGATGTTATAAAAATTTTAATAAAACATATATACTTTCAAAATATGAGAAGCCGTAGTTTACCAAACAATGGCTAGAAACTATTCAAGTGATGTCCTTTTAAAACTACAAAGCTTGAAGCCATGTTTACGGCATTGCCCTTTCAAATTCTTTAAGATCAATATCTATTTGCTAAATTCACATGAGCAGCAATAATAATCATATTTACCTCAGTAGACAACGCCACGCTGAAGTCAAAGGGAACACTTTGACCCACTTATTTACTGACCTAACCCATGGCTTTTCTTCCCAAATCAAATTTCTTTCTCGTTTATAAACCCATCTCTCATCGCACCGGCTCTTAATTTGATTGTCATCTGCTCCAGCTGCCATGTCCAGACCATTTTCCCCACCCATCTTCACACCCTTCCCGTCCCAGCTCAAAACTCCAGAACAACTCTAGAAACTCGGCTTAACATATTGACTGAAGAACCTCCACAACTGAAGATAAGCCACAATCTACTTGTGGGTTGAGTTTCATGTCTTAGTAGTAGTCTAATCCAATTCAGAAACTTCATCACCTCTTGACAGTTCTCCTAAGACAATCAGAGAGAAATTCATCTACTTTGAATTGGATGACCTTTAAGACACAGGTAGATTTTAACTTTAAATGACATGGCATTCTTCTGTGAATTTGTTTAGCAAATATTTATTTCAGACTTGCGAAGACAGATAAGCCCACGGGCCTGGAAACAGAGAATCATCACTTCCACTCTTCTGTTTCTAAGAATGAGAAAAAACTTGGGAAAAAGTAAAATGCTAGTGAGAATTTGGATAATGAGAACACAAAATGTGGTGGGTTCTAATGTAGAATGCAAATTCAACCATTAGGCATTTTTATTTATTTATTAATATATTTGGTTGCTGCAGGGTCTCACTACACACCTTGGACTTGTGGTGATCCTCCTGCTTTCAGCCTCCCTAGTTCTGGGACTACAGCCATGTGCCACTGTTTCTGGACTCTGTCTGGCTCAGCCTGCTCTAGGGGCAGGGCACGTGGTGCGGGGATCGAACCACAGACCATGTGCTTGCCTAAGCAGGAGCTTTAGTCTGCTGAGCTATCTCACCTGCCCCATTAGTCATTTTTAAATGACAGCATAATGGCTAATTCACCAAATGATCACTTCCCTGAGTAGGCTTTGCACCCTCGCTTCTCCAGCACTCTTCTCTAACTTCCCTGGTATTGCAGCTCCTGGGCTCCTCTCACCCCTGCTTGATCACTTGTCATCGCTTTCTTGAACACTTGCCACTTAGTCGCCACAGCTCTTCTCTTCTGAAACACCACCCTTAGGTTCTCCATGTTCTGATGAGCTCCATATGAAGAGTCTCAGCTTGGAAACCTCCCAGCATCTGCTCATTCTCTCGGGTTCTCAGCACGAGTGGGGAAGCCACCTAGCTTGCAGACTTGCATGAATCTGCCATTTCCCATTTCAGGTGAAGCTATACCATGTTCACACTGTCTTGATAATAGTTTTAGAAGAACGTTTATCTTTGTCACTGCTTCTCCATACTGACTTTGAGGAAACCAGGCAAAGGATTAGACTGATGAATAAGAGATGCAGAGTAGAATTAGCACACAGAAGTGTCCCCAACATTAATATGTGAGGCAAGAGAGGTCAGAAAGAGCAAAGAAGGGGGCAGACTCCAGGCATGAAGCATATGTGTTGGAGCAAAGAGGGCGTTACATGTGGCAGCACTGATATCCTTGTTAGTTGTATTCATGTGTCCATACATATGAGTTAGATTGAATAACCATGATATGTTATACACGAGTATTTCTTGATGAATGTTTTGCCTGATGCAGCTTAAGAAATGCCTTTTTTAGAGCCACTTCCTCTGCCTCTTTTTCCTGGGCTTCCACAAACCCTACAACCCACAGCTCGCAGGAAGGCAGTGTCCCCTGTGGCCTTGTACTCTGACTTTGTGCAGCTGGAATCTCCCTGTCCTAGCTGTCCCTAAGAAGACAACTGGGGCAGGTGCACATGACTGTCTCCTCAAATCATATTATGAGGACAAAACAAAAAATCTACTAAAGCTCTATAAAAACTACTCGATGATTTCCAACACAAATTATTTCAAACTTTATAATTGGCTAAAAGGACTAAGAGAAACACAGAGAACTGTCCACACCATGAGTGAGTTGTGGAGGTGACTTGGACAGCAGCATGCTCACCTGCATCTGGGGTTGAAAGCCAAGCAAGGTGGGGTGTGGGACACGAGGAAGGGAAGGCTGCTCTTGGAGACAGGGAGGGATGAAAGGGCACGTGAACGTGGGTAAACTTGGGCGTCTGTGGTTTTGCTTGGTGACGAGTACAGAGGACAAACTTAGAAAATCACTCTTCACAGTACGAATTTGCCTTGTGAGGGAAAGAAACGCTGTTTCTCAGGAATGAGAGAATCTGCATTTGCCTGCTAAGGATGCTTCATTGCCACACTCGTTCCAGCCCTTCTCTTCCCAGCATCCTTCACCTTCCACGCTGTAGCTCTGCCGACCCCAGGCCCCTACATCCTAGCTTTCAAGTGCATCCTGTGGCAATGATCTGCAACCCATGAGGGCCCCACATCCTCTTGTGGCACTGCATTGTGCCCTGCTCCTTTTTGCAGCTACCTACTTCCTGCTCATCTTACTTAATGAAACAAGGAAGTACATTAAATAAGCTGGCAAGACACCCAAAGCAGTAATTGGCCTTCCTCACTCAAGCTCATACCCAAGGTCTTGGCATGTGATAAATTGTTCAGTAGATACTTCATAAGGAGGAAACAAGAATGAAGCAAAGCAGGAAGAAAGGCAACTGTAAAGTGGGCTTAGAAGAGTAATAAAGACCCGTAAAAGCTTCTTAGAAAACTTCTGAAAGGTTGACTCGGGCTATATACAGACTCCTCAAGAGGTACTCTGAAGACCATCTGAAATAAATGGCAGAATCGCATGGGCACAAGTCTGTAAGTTAGGTGACATCCCCATTCATGCTGAGAACCCAAGAGAACGATCAGATGCTGGGAGGTTTCCAGGCTGAGACTCTTCACATGGAGGGCATCGAAACAACAGGAAAATGAAGGTACTGTTTTGATAGAAGAGGACAACTGTGGCAAATAAGTGACAAGCATCCAGGAAAGTAAAACCAGAAGACAAGCAAACAAATGGGGGGAGGGAGACCAGGAGCTGTAAAGCCAGGGAAGTCAGAGAAGAGTGCTGCAGAAGTGAGGGCGCAACACAGGTGAAATGACTGTAGTAGTTTCTTCGTGGTAGGTGAAGGAGAACACACAAGAGACAATCAGTAATGATGTTCCCTTTAACAGCATTGACAAATGAAGCAAAACACAATTCTCACCACCCTGGAAGCATGTTTATCCATGAAGAAATTCATTGTTCTCCACGGAATTATGTCATCTCAATTGCTAGTTGTTCTAAGTGACAACTAAACTGTCCCCAGAGCTGCGCTCAGAGGGGGATTTGATGGAAGGTGACTGCCTCATGTGGGGAGCAGGACTCAGTAGCCTAGTGTGCTGTCCAAGGTGAGCCTGCTGAGAGGAGGGCCACTGTGGAGTGGCCTGGGAAGGCGCATCTCCCTCGTGGACACCCCCTTCTCTCCATTTCCTGGCCCACAGCCTGAAGGGCCTAAGACACCAATACTTGTGAATATGACTTGGTCTGCAAACAAGGACTGGATGATGTAAAGAACTGATGAAGGCATTAAGAGAGGATCAAATCCAGTTAAGACTTTTGTATATGTATAAGAAGAATCACCACTGAAGGCCAAACAGGGAGAAATCTGTGAGATAACAGAAACTGAAGTGATGGCTTTTACCACAAGCATTTTGGTAAAAGCCAATGAGAATCATAGAAGGATTCTCCTCCATAGTTTTCAAACTAAGCTTGGCCCAGAAGCCACCTTGACGTTGGACGGTAGGGCTCTAGAAGTTGAGACAATAAATGTCCATTATTTTATGCCACCCATTGATACTGTAGCCAAAGAAAACTAAACATCATTATTTCCTATTCTTCTTATCTTACAAGTTATCAAGGGGTAAAGATACATTTGGACAACATGGATTCTGTGTAACCCAACTTATTTTCTCCATGTAAAACATGGTTGACGGTCTTTCATGTAGAATCTCTAGGGAAATTCTGTTCCCTGCTATCAACCAGATCAAAACAAACCTAGGGTAATCACTCACAGTTTGGGAGGGCCTACTATCGCCACAGGACAGCAAGGATGATGGAAACTGTCACTTTGTCAAAGCTCAAGCACAGCCCTAAACGTCAGGGTGACATCATTGGTTCGTGTGCTTTCACAAATATTTTTTGGGAGTGTGCGTGTGCCAGACACTTTCATGGCTGCCAGAGATGCATCAGCTAACAGAAGAACATCTTTGCTTCTGTGAGGCTTAAATTGAAGCAGAGAGATAATCATAGTATGTAAGTAACTCTATAATGCATTAGGACATAATAAATGATATCAAAACTATGAGTGAAGAAATTAGCATACATTAGAGAGAGTGGGTGGATTTCGTTGGGGGTGGTTTTCAAATCGGCACTCACTGAGAATGCAGCATAGACAGGAGATGGGAGATGGCTCAGGTACTGCCAGGAGCAAAGCGTTCCAGGGCCAGCACTGGACACACAGACCCCCCAATAGTATGATTGATGTGTTAGACAACTACAAGCAGCCAGCTTCCAGGTGCAGATTAGAGAAGAGGTGGCCCCTGGAAGAGTAGCTCAGGTAAGTTCCATCCACCCATCCATGTGGGGATGGAACCGCAATTGCTAAAAGCCTTCTAGGCCCATTGATAGGATGGAGGCCTTTCTTATAAGTCAGATGAGAAGCCACTAGAAGATTGAGGGCAGAAGCTGACATGATCACAGGTCATCTCAAGAGTAGTGAAGCAAGCGTGGAGAAGAATGAGGGCGGAAGGGGGGGCA